GGTTCCTCTCTGCCCATCTCTCCAGCCTGCCGAGGTCCCTCTGAATGGCATCGCAGCCATCTGGCGTATCAGACACTCCTTCCAGTTTAATATCATCAGCAAATCTGCTGAGGAGGCACTCTGTTCCTTCATCTAAGTCACTGATGAGTAGGTTGAACAACACCGGACCAAGTATTGACCCCTGGAGCACTGAATCTGTCCTTACAAGTGCAGCCTTTTGCACCTACCTTTACTTAATTAGACCTTGCTGATTTCTCCTATTATAAGAATAAAAATTATACTGGAAAATATCTTCCACTTAAACAGTTTCTAAACTGATGTCACCTATAAGTCTTTGAAGTTTATTCTGCTTTACATCACCCACATTGTGTTTGTAAACATTGCATAGCAGGAGTTCAAACCTCCACTTTGAGGATCGTTTAGCTTTGCCACAGAAATGGTGATCACTATTGAAAGAACATAGTTCTTCAGTCAGTTGTAGATCCATCTGAGAGGAGTTTCAGCTGAACCATATTTCTCTTATTTAAGAAAACTGTAACAACATATTGTCCCATTGCCTCACTCCTATCCACCAGTCAGCTGGAAGTTACTCTGGCATTACAGAGATGAAGATTCCTTGCAGCCCTGGATGAGCTGATGCTATAACCAGGAGCAAAGTTAGACACTAGAAAACAATATTCTTGGAAGTCTAGATTTACTGGTGTTGGCAGAGGTGGGGGGGGTGCTTGTTTTGTTTTGTTTTTTAATTACAGCTGCTTACTTCAATGAAGCATTTTAGGAAGTCCCTCTCCTGTTTTTAAAAGCCTGTAATTGCCCATCAGACTGCAGCAAGGGATTTTTAACTTTTTTTTTTTAAAAAGATTACACCAGCATTATGAAACTTTTCTTACAGCTGCCTCTAAATTCTCAGGATTACTGTTGTGAAATATTAACACTGCATATAGTCAGCAGTTCTAAGTCTACCCTTAAGTATAACTTCCATTTTACATCTATGTAATTTTATAAACAAATTAAAGAACACTTGTTTTCACAATTACAATATTAAAATAACTGCTAGTTGAATGCACCCACCTTTGTGCCTAGTCAAGCCTCTGCATGCTTCTGACGTTGATCTGCAAACGATTTTCTGAAGTGTGGGCAGGGAAGACTCCTGTCACTGAATATCAAAAATCCTGAAAAATTCTTCTACTCAGCTCTTGGGATGGTTCAAAGATACAAGGAGAGGCAAACAAGATGGTCATGTTATGAAAAAGTGCCACTTATTCCTTAAATACATTAAAATAAACTTATGTTATATGTATGGAATAATAATAATTCAGCTGAAAATAGCCTGTCATGAAAAATAAGCTTTTGTAGCTGTGTTCAGCTTCCTTAAGAAAGATATCTCCAAGTTGGAGGGAAATAGAAAAAAATAAGTCACTTTCAAGTTTTCCTTCAAGGGAAGGACCCAATACCATGTAGCTGGAAGACCAAGCTTAACCTCAGTGCCTAGAGACAGCAGAGGATCAGTGCTGTAAAGTTCATCCTTAAGCAACTTCCTAAGTTAAGAAATTCATAGGAAATTATGAATGTGAAGCTGTAGTCCCAATATCTGCTAGAAAGAAATCTCCCTCTCCATCTATACCTTCCTTAGCCATCCAGGGGTTTCCCAAGAAGAGAAACAAGTGCTCCTCTGCCCCTCACCTCCAAATTGCTCCCCTATTACACCTATACTGTTATCCAGCAACATCAGGGTACCAGAAAGATTCTCTATTCACCCAGAGCAGCAGCTGGAACTGACGAAACTGACAAACACAGTATTACCAACAGGATCCTAACTGCATGAAGATGACCAAAAAATATTGACCAAAAAAAGTCTGTTTAAGTTTTCCTTATGTCTCTTATATCTGCCCACCAAAAATGAGGAGCAGAAATGCCCAGAGGCAGAAAGAGTTTGTGCTGGTAACAGAAAAGCACAAACATCACTATTGTCAGAAAACCCAATTAAAACCAAACTGTTTGCAATTTACAGAAATTACACCTTCAAAACCTCCATAACTACAGATGAGTCTTTTTAAACAGACCACATCAAGGGCATGTTCTAACAACAGACTAAGCCCAGCAACCTTAGGACTAGAGACACAGTGGAAGAGTGAACATTAAACCAGGAAAAAGGAGTAGAAACTAAGTGCGTGTATGATAATTTTAACTATTATTACTACTACAGAGATTATTTTTTTCTGTATAAAAGTATTTTTATTTCTGTAATAATTAGATCTCAACTAATAATGACTTTTGTATTAGACTGTAAAGATTTTGGTTATTCAACTGAATATTCCATTGTTCAGTTTACTACACAGTAAGGTTTTGGCTTTATAATAAAATCTTTCCTCTTTTCCCATTAACAAGGTTGACTGCAACCATGGTGCTTAATTATTAGTTTTCCCAGTATCCAACCAGTTTGTCATTTAGGCCTGTTCCTCCTTACCAACTAATGCATTTAATACAGGCCCCTATATAGGCAAGTCATTTATATCCCCACTTAGTATTTTTTTCTTCCAGGTAAGGGCACTTCAATCCCTTTGGCCTTTGACAGGCATATTACCAAATTACTTCATTCAGTTTAGTTCCTTCTTATATTCAAAACCTTTCAAATTTATATTTTATATTTCTTCCTGTAGGACAGGACATGTCAACTCCTTTGGCCATTTTTTATAGTACAGCTATAATCAACTGGAGAAATTACTAAAGAGAATAACCATCCCCATTCTTCTGGAATTGTTGTGGTCAGATGGGGTTATTTAAGGCTACACCCTTTCAGGGCTGACTGACCCCAATTCTAGTGCTTGTTATTGTTTACAGAAAATACTCCAGTTTATGTTTCTCAGCCTGTTTGCTTTTTCTGCAGTACTGTTGCCTAGCAATCATTTCCCCATCCTGCACCTGTTCTCAGTACTGAGCTTCACATTTATTTCCACACCCACCTCTTCCACAGCACCTCTACAATTTATAACGATGATTTTGAATTCTAATCCTGTAGGGTTATCTGCAGAAATTAATAAACACATTTTATACTTCTTCATTTGAATATACAATGATATCAAAACTGCTGGAGACAGAATAACAGGCTTATCACCAAGTCCATTTCCCACATCTGCGGGATCAAACCATGGTAAACATTGCTGCAGTTACACACTATAAAATGGAGCGAGTAAACTGTGAGAAATAATTTATTGTACTAATTTTCAACAGTAAATAACCTTAATTTTATGTTCAGACATAAAAGATTACAAACGTGCCTCATATGGACAAACACTTTGTGAGCTGTTCTTTTAACAGTCTCTGCTAAAACCACCACTGCAGATCAACATGAGTTGCAAGTGATAACTCACAAGCTAAATACAACAAGCAACCATCTTCTCTTTCCATCTCAAACAGGATACACCAACTTTGTCTTCCACAAGAAGCATTCACCAGGTGAATAAAGGCACCAGGTGCTGTAGCACAAGACAGCTAAGGTATAACAGTCACTACCAGTATTCCAGCATCACATGTAGTTCTGGTCTCAGACATTTCTTGTTGTATAGTCAAAGGCTTCCAAAACAAGCCCTTTGTGTTACCTCTGACATTTAAATTTTATCATTAAAATTAACACTGGTGCTTCTCCAACTGGATCCTCTAACATCTTCTTTTCCTCTTGGGGAGAGGTACTTCTGAAAGGAAATAAAGAGATTTTTCTGATAAGCTTTTCAATCTATCTTCCCTCATGGGAATGATTAAAGTAGAATTCATTCTGCTGAGCAAAGGAAATTAATTAGATGAGCTTTTGAGATCCCCTCCAGATCCCTCTTCCCATAGTTTTAAATCTGAAAAAAACCTTTCTAGATTTTCTATTAAACTATAATTAAAAATATCAATTAAAATTCCATTGGTGAACAAAATACTGTACTTCCAAAACTCATTCAATCTTGAAAGTGTTCTCATGAACACCTTCAACATTTCATTGTGAATTTGACAAATGGAATACTCACAAAATTAAGCAAAAAATACTTGGAGAAATAGCTTATGGGTATTTTTAATGCTTCAGAATTTGCTGTAAAATTCTGAAGAATGGAGAATATTCCTGACTTAGAAAGAAACTTTTGTCCACAACAACTTGATGGCAAAGTAAATAAAGTATAATATTAAATGCACCATTATGCCTTCAGTCTGACCATTTAAAATTGAATGAATTCACATCATCTACAACTAAGGTGATCAGAGAATGTAATCTCATTTCAGTACTACAAGATGCTTTTTTACTTTTAAAAAGACACGTATAAATGTGCTACCTCACTACAAATGTATTTTAATAATTACTATGCTTCCTTGCATGAAATATCATTCAATTACATACAATTTTGGATATTAACTCCAAAAGATACACTCCTTGCATTCATCTATGTCATTAAAGCTTTCCAGAAGCTGCACTTAGCCCTTTGCTCCCCTTTTAAGCAACTTAAATACTACCCCTTTAGGTTAAGAACCTGTACCTCTGGTCTATCAAGCCTGCCTTCCACTACATAACCAAGATCCATCAGTCTTAGACTAGCTAGAACTGCCAGTGGAAATCAGAGCTTCAGCTGGCCAGCTCCTCTCCCAGCAACACCACCCATGTTTGAGATGTGGCAGCAGAGCAGTGCCCTGGGCTCTCCTCAAGAGCACGGCTGAACAAGGTACTGCAAGATAAAGAGGATGTATTTTTCTTTGTACTGTGTCTGTTCTACAGTGCTTATGTTCTCCACAAGCAATACTGAGGACAGACCCTGAAGCTTCTGAGTTGCAGAGTAGTTCAAGATCATCTAACATCTTAATTTCTACTATAGGAATTTGATGCTTCCGTAGAGCAACTCCATCACCAGCTCTGAGAAACCTGCTTTACCACTGCTTCCATACAAAAATTACCTTATTTCCAGTAACATGAGTGATAGCAGAGTCACCCACTCTTCTGCTGCAGTTCCCAGAATCCTACCCCAACTATGTCAGACAACTCCTAATATAGCAGAGGATGCTATTACTGTACATTGGTGGTTTCACCATGTATACTGGTTTCACATGTATGCTGGAACTTAATCCTTGAAGCATTACCCAGCTGAAACTAAATCTAGAGGGGAAACTTCTGTGTCCCCTCACTTCCAAAGAGGTGAAGGCAGCAAGGGCTATTTTCACCGTGAGCACAGGTAACAAGTTCCCAGAGCTACTAGAACAGGTATTTTCTGTAAGTGGGAGAATGACCAAAAAATCATTTTTCCTTATACATCAGAGCTCTTCAAGCCAGATTTATGTTACAGAAAAGTAAGTCTCCTTTTATTAGGACCACTTTTAACTCTGAACCACTATAAATAAGTCTACGTAGAAAAAGCACGACTCCCAGCATTGTGCCACCACATGTGTACTCATAACAAAATCTCAAATCAGAGCTTCGATTTTCATGCAGCAATTTAGAGGCTAAAAATGATCCTAGCTTTTGCAAAGCAGTAACACATGGTTCAAAATATCAGCTTTAGTTTCAGAAAAATACAGCATAGTAGAGAGCTATTAAAAAACAAGCCACTGGTTTGTTAAAATTTCAATCCTTGTACCTTCTTCATCCGAGTTCTCTTCTGTGATTACAGGCATCCCAATATGCTGAGTAACAGTTTCCTTTGCCACTTGCATTTCACCTGCAGATAGATTTTTAGGAAAAACTGTCAGCTGTTTTTTTTTTCCTTCTAACATCTCAGGACCAGCAGTTAAAAGACTGTTCACTTGCTGCTCTCTTGAGTTTCTAGTCAAAGGCTGTAGTGAAACACCCATGTCTCACAGTACCTTCGTAAGGCTCACTAAAGAAACCTTCAATAACAAGCAATTAACACTACAAGTTTAAAGCAAATTAATCACCAGCTCAGTCCAGAGATAATTCAAAATGTCCCTATTCCTTTACAATGTTTCATTTACTGTTTTAAAGTGAAGCAAAGGCAACATTGCCTAATGCTCACTTCTGAAGAGGGATGAATTTTCTCAGTAACTTTTTTCCTAACAGAAGCTAAGTCAGAAAATGGAGATTGGAACTTTGAAATGAAATCCTTGTCTTCAAAACAAAGTTAATTCAAAATTATTTTGCTGTTTAATTCAATTTAACCTTTAATAAGTAATAAGTAAATGAAAAACTTAAATGGCAGAGCAACTTCTATCGTTTAGAAGTTGGATATCAGAAAGATGATTTGCTTCAGAAAAGTAATCTTCCATGTTTTCAGAACTGGGAGACAGAGATCTAAAAGTCTTGGAAGACAAGAGAAAAAAGGATGCATAAGCAGGGATGTGCAAATACCGAGAAAGTAAAACTGCACCAATCCAGATGACATAAATGCTACAATAGTAAAATAACTAAATCAGTCACTGGTCTGTTTAGATATGCCAAATGTCAGCAACACCAGATAGGATCTCTCCAACAGAGACCTGAAATATCTCCCTCTTTCCTCACCTCCTCTTTTCATCTAGCAAAGCACCCTCACACCAGCTCTTATACTTACCTCACATCAAAATGAGTCAGCCCTCAAGTTCTGAGGCTTGAACTTTTTCTGAATATATTAATACAAATGATGATACCATACAACAAGAATCCATACAAATGGCTAATCCATTAAGTTCTTGGTCTTGGCATCATATTTTCAAGAAATTTCACAAATAAGTTAATCTCTTTTTAATTTAATTTATCAGCTTTGGATCAGGTAAGGGGTTTTTTTGGTTTTTTTGAAAAAACAACTGTTTTGAGGCAGAAAGGAGTTCCCAGTCCAATTTTCTTACTTTAAAAAACTTTCACCATATCCTCACTTACTCCATCACATTTTGGTTGTATTTTTTCTCTCTAGAGGCATTTTTGCTCTGTGGGCAGCCATTCTTGTCACTCACTAAATTCTATCCTCTCCACAGCATTCAAGGAGAAATTACAGGCATTTGCAGTTAACATTCCATAATATTTCTTGTTAAAAATCTGAAGTTTTTTTCTGACTACATTAAGCAAGGGCATTCACTGAGTGTGTACAGGGACATACCAATGCTTCTTACATCAGTATAGATAAACCAGAACGATATAAAGTACAAGCATTTAAAAGTATTTCCTTCCAGGATGCATTTCAAAGTAAGAAAAAACATCCCAAAGATTGGACATAAGTCACAGACATAAGAAGTCACAGGTGTATAAAAAACCCTCCTGTCAAGAAGGGAAAAGTTAAGTCTAGCTATGAACTAAACAAATGTAGAATTGTTATAATGCAATAGTTGCAATATTGAGGTTAAGGAAAGAATTTAGAGAGAATTTTGAAACTGTATCATTTGTTGACAAAAGATTTGTATTCACATGGAAACACTCAAAATTTCAGTAACAAAAGAACAAAATAAATAATAACTATCAGATGGAAGAAGAGTGACCGATGTAATAGTGCAGGTACTAGTCTTATGAAGCAATCATTATCTTTAAGACATCGATATAATTTTATCTTCAGAAGTATGAGATGATATTCCTTTGAGAGCTCAGGAACAGATTAGAAACAGGCAAGGTTTACTTTGGATTTCATGAAGATAGTATGAACAATGAAAATTATCAGATAGCTTCTACTTTGGAAGCTTTTTGATGAAAATCAGCCTATCTGACAGAAGAAGAAACAGACATGTATTTTAATCTCCAGTACATTATATGGCAGTAGGAATAATTAAGACATGGACATACAGGACATGCTTTTCCAAGGTCATGCCTTTCCAGAGAAAAATTAGCAAGACTATGTATGAGACTTCAGCTTAACTATAAACCACATGCACTCGTGTTGTCTTTCTACCTGACTAGACTGTGCAAAACAGCCAGAAAGGTTCAATTACGACAGGGGTATCACAAAACATTTCTTTAATCTTCTACGTTCACTGAACAATAGTCAAATTTAACCCAGCTGCTTCGGGTAGCAAAGCAATAGATAAACTTTTGCAGACTCTCCAGGTTCACAAGTGTAATGGAGAAATACCTTGGATTCCCAGAGAATTTCTTCTCCTTGCTGGCTGTGGTCTCCTACTGGTTTTTTTACTTCGGCTTGGAGATTTCTCATAATTTGATCCTGATTCAGAAGATTCCAATTTTACTTGACGATGCCTTCTGGATTTGGAAGCCTAGAACCCAAACATACATATGAATGACACAAAAAAGCTAAACTTCTACAGCCAGATATTACTGTCTGTCACCCAGTACTTTACAAGTCAGGAAGAACCAAAGCATCAAATTCCATGTCAGGGTGAAGAGATGGAAGGGGAGGGGAAGGAGGGAGGATTCCCAGTAGTTACTGCTCTTCAGTTTTAACAGGACAACGCCCTTCTGTGATTTAATGGATGTATCACTTAAAATTCAGGTAATGAAACATTCATTTATTTTCAAACCATTCCCTGCTGGTATCAACCTACACGATGTGTGGCACACTGCTGAGTGCAATCAAAAGGAACACTTCCAAAAACTCCTGCACCACAAAGCCTCTTTACTGTCATATTTTGCTTAGATGCCCAGAAAACAATATCACTGCATATTCACAAGTCTGAAGCATTGTACATTCCAGAGCTCTGTTTCATTTAATAATGCATTTTTCAATAAGGTATTTTAATGAAGAAGGAAAGTTGTGATGTTTCTCACAGCCCTGTTATAAAAAAGACAAATCAACAATATTTTAAAAGTATCAGTTATCGGAGCAATGTTTCCAAGAACTTCCAACTGACTTTAAACCTCCAAACTCCATTTTTGCAAGCATCTTCAGAGATTCCAACACCTAAACTTCAAGGAATTTGAGTAATTAAACTCGCAAGTATTTTTATTCCAATTACTTAAACAGAGTATAGACATCATAAGATACCTTGTAAATTAAACTTCCCCAAGCATAGACCTTATCTGCACTGTTTCCATAAATCTAACAAGAATAATAAGAGCTTCAGGTTTCCCCACTGTGTTAGGAAAACCAGAAGATTCAAAGGTTGAATTCCAGAGGGCAATTTTAACTCATTCCTTCCTGACCCTGCATTTACATTAAACTGGTACTTAAAACTGTTATTTAAAAATAAATACATTCCTATCACCAAATTTTACACTTACCTCAACAACTGCAGAGTAAGACTTGTATTTGATTCTAGCCAATGCATTTGCTCGTTCAGAACCCTGCAAAGAAACAGAGATCAGTCAGAAAAGGTTTTCATATTCTATTATGGTAGTACTGACATGAAATATCACATCAACCACTTGAGCAATACCTCACTACAGTTGTAATTCTATAATTAGAATTAGTTCCATACAATTCGAATACTGCTGAACTGTTACTTAAAAATGAAAAGGTAAAATTTAATTAAAAAGGCAGAGCATAATTTCTGTTGCCTTCACTGTTACAAAGCCCAGGAGGAGGAGATCAAATTTGAAAGCTCACATCTTACTCAAATTCAAAGTCGAAATAAGCAGATAAGTACAAAATGAGATAATTTTGTAGCATTAAAAAGATGGATATTGCATTTAGTTGAAAATCCAGGAGGAACCACAAAGAAGCCAAGAAAATACAGCTCTTTGCTCTCCTTAACTGAAAGAGACTTTTTATTATAATCATCCAAGAGCTACATCAGTGAATGCTCACAGCTTTACAGAAAACAATGCTATTTAAAACCAAAAACAGGCAAACCAAAAAACAGGCAAACCAAAAAACAGGCAAACCAAAAAACAGGCAAACCAAAAAACAGGCAAACCAAAAAACAGGCAAACCAAAACCAGCGCAAACAAAACCCACCCAGCCCCACCAGCTACTCCTGGAACTTACTCTGACACTATCAAGACCTGATGTACACTGCTTAGCCTGTGATCTGAAGTCAAAAAACTAATAGTTTTGGCCTGCACAATGTAGCAAACTAGTTCATTTTTCTTACCTCTGATTCTAGCAAAGTATCTTCTTCCTTTTTGTTTGATGCTTCATCAGTTTCTTTAGCATTTAGAAATAATTTCTTAAAAAAAACAAAAAAAAAAAGGCTGTCATAGAAAAGGCAGTTAAAATCCAAGAATTGTGAAAAATAAAACAAATATTTACAGATATGTCTATTTTCTTCATTGATCTCACACTATGGCCTTCCCTTGCTCGAAGAATAAGTGTTACAGAGGTATTTCATGCGGTCACTCTAATACTGCCCATAAGTCACATCTTCCAGGGCTCACCTCTGAGCAATTATTAATATATTATTATATATATATATATTATATATAATATATATATTATTATAGCAGCAGTACCACATACAAGCCCACGTCCTTCTCCCCATACCATAACTCTGCCCAGGGTTTACTCACTCCATGCCATCAGTGTTACACTTCCTTCCACTGAAGTCTGAGATTTACAAAGTACATCCAGGGGTAATTACACTGAGAAAGACAGTTCTTAACGTGTTCACATAATCTGTTAAGTTGCCACAGCACAATGGTTGATATTACCTACCATTCTGTTCTGCTGCCATTCCTGATGTTCCAAAGTTATGTTCTTAAGAGTAACAACAAAATCATCTTTTATTAAGCTCAGTGCCTTGTCTGGCTGGGATTTGTCAGCTGAAATGACACACTTCATTTTCTGATAGTGGTCGTGAATATTCATCAGTTCCTAAAATAAAAAAAAGATACTCTTGTCAGTAAAAAGAAGGATTCCAGCAGTGAATTAGTATTGGTCAGGGTTATAAAAAATACTCTAAGACCATGGAACTAACAGGAGTGTTAGATTCTGTTTAGATCAGTTCAGTTTCAGGGAGCCTAGCAATACTGCTACCTAGCACTGTCCCATCAGTCCACCAAATAAGCAAAAGAAAAAAGAGTATCTTGCATTATTTAAACTAAGAAGGAAGTCTCTCAGTGATACTCAGGATCAGTGCTCAGAGATCTCATTCTGATATGGTGGTCTATTTTCATTTCTTTGAAGAAAGCATTTTACTTCTTCCTCTTCAGGAAGCAGGTCTTCTCAGCCTGCCATTTCCCAGATTACTGATTTTTGTACCACTGCAGTCACCCTTACTGATGTTGCTAGCAGCAACTGGAAAAAAATTTAAACAAGATCTATTACTGAGTCATAATGACCAATATAAGAACCTATACTCAGCTTTAATTACTCCATTTTTCATAATATGTATTATATATTAAACAAAACCAAGTTTTAAAAGGAGAAATAAAGGTTAGGGAAGGCTATAAACTTACAGATAAGTAAATTCACATTACCACTAGTATCAAGGCTCCAGCTGCAACCTGCAGACATATCAAACATGCTGCCTCTCACCCACCATTTTCCATTTTCCTCTGCCTGAGTGATAATTAACCATTTATATCTTTCACAGAATCATAGAATGGTTTGGGTTGGAAGGGATCTTAAAGATCATCCAGTTCCAACCCCCCTGCCATCAGCAGGGACACCTTCCACTAGACCAGGTTGCTCAAAGCTTCATCCAGCCTGGCCTTAAACACTTCCAGGGAGGGGGCATCTACAACTTCCTTGGGCAACCTCTTCCAGTGTCTCACCACCCTCACAGTGAAGAACTTTTTCCTAATATCTAATCTAAACCTCCCCTCTTTCAGCTTAAACCCATTTCCCCTTGTTTTATTATTAAATGCCCTTATGAACAGTCCTTCCCCAGCTTTCTTGTAGCCCCTTCAGGTATTGGAAGGCTGCTATAAGATCTCCCCGGAGCCTTCCCTTCTCCAGGCTGAACAGCCCCAACTCTTTCAGCCTGTGATCTTTCCCTTTTTATATCTTACTGAAGCAAAAGCACAAAACAATCATTAGAGCATATTTCACTATTGAAAAAGGTACCACAATTCTTCTAAAATAAATGCCATGTTTCTGAGTGTTTGGTAAAATGGCTGGCACAGAGTAATACCTTAGTTTCCATTCCATAACAAGACTTATAAAGGACCAGACGGTGCCAATAAGGTAAGTTATAGCTCTGGGACAACAGAAGAAAAGCAAAACAAAACAAAAACCCAACAGCAATTAATCTGTAGTTTAAAAGTTACTGTACCTCCAATACATCATTAGTGATGAGGCTGTTCACTCTGTTACTTGGGTCCTTAAATTCTTCTTTAAATTCGTTTTCCTGAATCTTCTTTTTAGTTCGGTAGTTTAGCTAAAGCAAGAGACAAGGCTTTGTAACCTAAAAGCAAACTTAAAATGGCACCTTCTTTTGAAAATTCTTACTGCATATCCCACCATGCTGAAAGGCATAAAACCACCTCACCAACAACAGCAAGCAGCTTTATTGTCAAGTGCTCAGAGTCAGCACTTTTCAAAAATTATTCCCTAGTCAAGAATTTAATCCAGCACCCAGATTGAAGAGTTGAACGTTTCCACAAATTACAAGACACCTCAAACATAATAAGAACATTGGATACTGAAAAAATATTATGAGGTGAGAAGCATGCTACATTCAAACATCCTCGCAGCTTTACGTCACACAAAGCAAGATGTATTACATTTCAACACAGCCCCAAAGCTAAACTAAATACGAGTGCTCTTGAACTGTAAAACACTGAAAACTGAAGATATTTTATTAAAAATGGTAAGTGTATATTAAATATACATTAATACATCTTAATGTAATAACTCACTAGCTTTGGCATTGCTGTGAAATGGAATGCTCTAGCAAGTCGCAGTGTCCTGAATATGTATGCTGCATCATAATGCTGGGAGTCTAGCAGATCCTGTTGAAATCTCTGGATTTCAGGCCAATCCTTGAGTGCGATTCTGATCTGCAACAAAGCAGAGGAACACTGTCATACCTACCAGCATACTGCAACAAATAACAACTAATTCAGCTGACTACTCTGATCAGGTTATATCACGCACCAGTATTTGGATGTCTAGGGTGTAACAAGTCACACAGTCACAGAACTACAGAAAGGATCCTACTATAGCATTTGTTACTACTATCAAAATTCCAGGCAGATAAGCTTATTATACTGTTGTGTTAAATATTCTCACAGCTGTTGCTTTCTTAGAGAGTGACACAGAACACAATCTGTCATAACCCAGCTACTGAGGGGTTATATGTTAGTAAAGGTTCAGGCTGTTGCAGACAGATCTGAGTCAGACCCAGATTACTTCCCAGTTGCCTTACTGTCACACAACTATCTAAAGTAGATATACAAAAATTAAATAAAACATCTAGATAATGAGTAAATGTGTGCTTTATTAATCAACCATGTGTTTGTGAATATTTGCTAAATCAGATCTAAGAGAGTAAACTTTATTAAAATCAGTTATATACTTAATAGTAGCAAGAGTAATAATGCTACAGACAACACGATTGCAATTAAGGTGGCTTGAAGTGCTATAAGGTCAGGTGTCCCTGGCCACACCTGACCAGGAAGATGTCATTGCCCTAGTGAGATTCTCAGCTAATTCTGTTCTAAAGTCAGCTTTTACAGAGTTGCTTTACCTATGCCCAATTACTAACAGATCAGCTGTGATCCTAAAGCAAACCACAACACAAAAAAAGAGGCAAAGCACCTTTCCAATCTGTGCCTGCAGCAGCTAGGCAGGAGCTCGTGGTTCTGTGTTCTAAGAGAGGGGGTTTAACCGAAGGAGGGGGACTGGTCACCACACAAGCCCCCATTTTGACATTTGAAGAAGTTAACTCTTCACATTCAGAGATGCTGCCTGAAACAATACACACCTAGGAGACTCCCATTCACTGGATGATTAGGAAACAATACTTACACCATGATTTGCTGTCAATGAAATGCTCATAAAAGTATCCCTGTCTTCTTGCTTTCCTTCCTCTCCTGTGTACTCTGCTCACTTAATTTTTTCTCTACCTAAGTTAGTTGCTTTGATAATTCCTGGACTCTCTAACAGTTGCTATATAGCAGTGGGTTTAAAATTCCCTAAATTCACCTCCATAAAATGTATTAACTTCTTTGAAGTTAAGATATGAGATGTAATGGCATCATTGTTGAATACTTAAACTTCAGTTTCTTATTTAAAGAATTTGGACTCAAATGTGCACATGCACACTACACACATCAGAGTTTCCAAGTAAACCACTTCTCCTTGCACTGAGTTTCTGACTCCTTTACACACTGGTCTCCTGTCCTAAAAGCAACAAGGAGACATGTCATTCAGGTGTTCACCCTTTCACCCTATTTACAAATCCCACTCCTGATTAACAGGAACTGGAAATAATTCAGTCTTCATTCCATCAAAATTCTAAGGAATACCTGGGGCTGTAATGGAGTTCACCCCTCAGCTGATGAGCACATTCTATTCCCATTTTGAATATTCTTCAATCACCTTCATTTTTGAACAGAGAATCATAGAATGGTTTGGATTGGA